TTTTTTTTTTTTTTTTTTTTAAGGATTGTTATGTAAATCATTTAGCAGTTCAAAGATTAAGTAGCAATTTAAACTGAATAAATATTTGTGCAAGTGGTGGAGAGAAATATTTCGTAGAGCACTAGCACTGGAGAGTAGGAGTTGGACAGCAAATAAAAATATATTTCTCATTTCTAGTACAAATACTCCTCCAGAATATAAAACTTTCTGAATTGAAGTACACAGATAAGATAAAAAATAATAATCTAATGTTACATATGGGTCTCCTGCAACATCAAAACTGCGTGTTTTAAGGCAGGCGCTTATCACTAACTTGTATTATAAGATGTATTCATAGACTAAAACCAGAAAAGAAAAAACAGCTGGACATGCTTAAAGCTTCTGATTTTTCTTCTTTTTTCTTTCTTTCATACATTTTTTTTATTTTCTTTTCTAGGAATGAATACAAAGTTATCCATCTCGTGTAAAAGCTTACGTTGGGCCATCCATATGATTTAAATCTTGTCTTCAACATTCCCCATGACATCCAAACCGAATTCATTTTTTTAATCAAATGTTGACATGTGCACAATTTTCATAAAGTGGTGGCGGTGAGAATTGACCTAAGGATTTTTGCACAACTCTGATATCATTTGAACCACGTCATCTAAAAACTTAGGTTGTTCGAGAGGTGCCACGTGTATTCATTTAAATGTTTTCAACGAACAACAAAATTGAGGTTCTTATAGGCATGAATGGAGGCATTATTACCTAAGAGAAGTTTATTGACAAGAATGTCAAAGAAAACGACGTCTGTTCGCAAGAAAACCTGCACCCATTTCCACTTCTTGTAACCCCACAACTACAATATCGACATCCGATACTGCAGAACTTAGCCATGAGATAAGAGCATCCTGAGATGCTCTTCCTTGGCCAACGTTCCATGTGCCAACTAATATTCTAACATTATCTAGTCTTGTATACATGTTTTCTCTGTCAGCTAATTCTAGCCTTAAAATGTTATCCACAGGTCCTGGAGAGGCAATGCTCCATCCCCGTATACCGCCATGAGTTGCCAAACTAAAAATGTAACCATTTCCAACCACTAATTTTATAACAGGACCATTGTGAGCAACCCAACCAGCAATTAAGTTTCCTTCGAGGTCCAGCAGTTGGACCACTCCACTTATATAGCCAACCCATATTCTTGACCCATAAGTGCAAAAGCATAGAACAGCACAAGGATGATGATTGAAATCCTGCAAACGGTTGCCATTTCCATCCCATTGCACTAATAAGCCATTGGAACATCCAGTCCATATAATTCCATCTGATGCTAGAACAAGGGCTTCTGTTTTTTTAGCATCTTCACTATAAGCTGACCCCTTTGTTGCTGCTCGGCGCACAGCATCTGCAGCTCCCATTATAGCATTACGTGACCGCTGCAAAAAGCCTTGGGATTTTTCCTTTTTTGACTTGGAGACGAGCTTAAGATTCTCATCTTCAGCTGCTTGGTCTTGCACTGATGGCATATCGACTCGATTCTCAATTTGACCGTCTATGTTAAATACTTTGAGAAGTTCTCTTGTGCGAGCATCCCTGCAGTTTCCCAACTATCTTGATTATTAGAAATAACTAACAAAACATAGCATTCCCCCCAAAAGAACATTTTCCCACTTTTTTTGAAGTAGAATCATTGAGAAATTTTGATTTCAACATTAATTCATAAACAATAAATGTAAAAGCTAAAACAAAGTTGTAGACTTGTACAGTAAATCAGTTTGCAGAGTGAGAAAATTGACAAACATACCATAATGAGAAGGATGACGACCCAACTGCCCACACTTTGGCTCGGACATTGTCAGCTAACAAACTCTTAACATCTGAAGATGAAATGTTACAAGCACCATTAATGGTAACTTGGCTCCTAAGGTCAACGAATGACCTCTCCACTAGTAAAGAAGCCATGTGTCTTTCCTCTAGTGATAGAGATAGAGATTTTTCAATAGCTTCCCATGGCCACACCTTTATAATACCACCCTCAAAGCCCGACCAAATATCACCTGAATTGAAACCATATAAAGTTAAAATTTGGCAACACCCTTTTCGGGTTTTGATACACAATGAATCCCAGGCTATTATATAAACGTGTTGGATTAAATTGTTACCAACAACCAAGTGCAAAGGCTCAACCCGAAAACAACGTGGGCTGAAAGTAACTTAAATAATTAATGTTGCTCATGGTCCATTTATATTACCTCTTGGATGACTTCGAATCTTGACCCATTTAACCCCTTTTATTGATCCAACTAAATCTTAACTTAGCCTATATATATGGTGTTTTTGCCCTAGCTGTTTAGTGTGCGATTTGTGAGAAAAGAAGAAAGAAACCGTGTGCAAGAGAGGAGAGAAACAGGCAGCCCCTTTGGCTTCCTTGGTATTTTGGTCCCGTTTCTTGCCTTCTTTTAAGAGCCTTTGTGGCTACAAATCATCACCATTATCTTGTCATTTGTGGGTGAGATTGAGGAGTAACCGAAGTGAATATATTGGTTGTGAGTTGGAGCCGTTTGGATTTGTTGTTTGGTAGAGAAATGTAACGTGAAACTAAGCCCAGAAAACACCGTTTTGACAACAATTTGAGCAAGCTTCCGCGACAACCATAAACAAATTTCAGACTAAAGAAAGAGTTGAGAACATACGTCTATTGTATTTCGTGTCAAAAGAATATGCAATAAGCACACGCTAAGCAAGTCTGTAGCTAGCTTGCAGAATATCATTTCAGAATAAATACATGGGATGGTAAATAACATTACCAAATAGATTTTTGTCAAACGAAACATCTTTTACTCAGAAGAAAAACAGCTACGTTCAAAAAGATAATCAAGTGGGATAAAGACATTGTCATGGAAAGATCCAATTGATTAAGCATCTATCATAACAGAAATGCACACCTTATACATTGAACATCTATAATTTCAGAAATGATAAAACTTTTGGCCAAGTGAAAGGGATTTACCATAAGAAGAAATTATCATGGAAAGAACTGGACCTCGATGAGCCTGCCAAAAGAAGCCTTCCTTCAAAGTGGAATCATCGTTATAAGGCTGGTCCATCCTCCAAGACCTAATCTTACCATCCTTATGCCCACTCCAAACCAACTTACTTCCAGGGTCAACCATCAAACATATTGTGGAAGACGTGCTTGCTGATTCATAAAATGGAGCAGCGTCCTCATCTCCTCTCCGTGCCCTTCCTCCTACCCCGATTCCTGGCTCATATGCATCTGTAAAGTTCCATACTCTAACCCCTGATTCTTGCCCTGCCCATAATTGTGTTTCTGTACTGACAATAGTCCTCAAAAATTTTCCAACCTGTAAAAACATTAAAGGATTCTCACAGATTTCTTAAACTGGATGATTACATGCAGTACATAAACACAATAATGCTGTGGTCACTGGTCATCAGGAACTTTCCTAGAACTAATGTCAAAAAAATAAATAAATCTATATCATATAGAAAAACTAAATAATTACGCAAAAAACAAGATGAATTTATCTAAAGCTGATAACTTTGACAAAAATTAGTAGAAATAACGACAGCAAAAGCATATTCAACTACTGAACAACTACACCTCAGTTGATACCCAAAACCCCACTAAAGGTAGAAATCAATAAGAAAGGAAAAGAAAAAGAGTAAACATCAAAAAAAATAAAAAAAACTTCCAAGTAATTCTAAAATTCATTTCACCCCGAGGGAGATACAAACCTCACAGTCTACTAATCTAATTATCCTAAAATCTGATTTCTTTTGGAAAAATGAAAGCCCATATGTACAAAAATCCACACACAATTATGCTAAACTTTAATGATGTTAATAAGCTACAAATTCATTTCACAGATAAGCAGAAATATGCTCTCTAATTAAGAAAATTATGAAGATTCAGTTAACCCCAAAGATATAAAGCCAACATAGTCCCATGTTCTAGTTGTCCTAATTTTTCTTACCAAAAAAATAGAATCCAAAAATACAAAAAGTACATACACAATAGGTAGTAATGTTTATAAGCAACCAATTATTTCACAGAAAAGGAGATGCAGTAATCTAGTTTAATGTTTAAATATTCCCATATATTTCATACAATAAGGAAACACAGCAACTCACAAGCACACCAAAAACAGAATTAAAAAACTATACTGAGTACAAAATTCAATTATCTCCTATAAAGCAATGTGCATACAACTCCATACCTCTGATAACTTCCAAAAAGATCACTCATTTCACCCAATTAAACTAACACATAAAACACAATTATCTACTTTTAAACACAGGAAGCACTTAATGTGACAGTTTGCTTCTTTTTTTTCCCCCTTGGAAGCACGTAATATAAGATCACGGATTAGGCAAAGGAGGTTGCTGATTTCGCATTTAGCAATCATCTTAAAGAAAGAAGGCTGCTAAATGCCAAGTCAGCAGAGATTGCAAATGCCACTTCTTCCTGTGGCATCCATCTTTGAAAGGATCAATTCACATGACAAATAAAGCCCCCGTTTTGAGCCCCATTTTTTAGAATGGATTTTTGTAAAAAGTGGTTTTTGGAGAATGTGTGGTTAAAAGTAGGGAAAAAATTTGGTTTACATGAAAAATTATTTTATTAGAAGAATATGTGATTGAAAATGAGTTATAAAGATTGGGGCTCAAACAGGAGGAAAGAAACAAAAACACACATCTTCATACATTTCCTATATCTCTAATGACTTACAAAAAAAAAAATCACGCATTTCACCCAATTAACTAACAAAGGAAACACGATTATCTAACGAGACACATTTTATGTGGCAGTTTCTTTATGCTTTCTTGAAAGCACTTATTTAAGATCGCCGATGAGGCGAAAGAGTTCACACTGCATATAAATGCCACTTCTCTTCTTGTGGCATTCATCTTTTAGAACAGATAAAAAACACACACACCTTCATAACTTCAAAAAAGGAACCATAATTGCTCAATATTGCAAAGGCCCATAAAAACTTAGAAATAAAAAAGTCTGTTCATCATACTTGTGTCTCTCTTAGAGGGTGAGGCCTAAGCTCGAGAAAAGGTGGCCGGCTGGGATGTACAGCTGCCCTCTTAGGCGCCTTAAATATCCCCACCCCTCCACCACTCCCCATGAACTCCGGCATTGATTGCTGAAACTGCTGCTGGTACTCATCGCCTCCATCCCCAATTGGCATCCCATCAATCCTGTAATCTACACGGTGATCGCTCACCGACCCTATACTTCCAACACTACCACCACCACCACTTGCAATACTAGCGGTAGTGGTAAAATATGGATAAAAGTCATCATCATCAGAAGAATCGTTGGTGCTATCGTAATAAAATTCATTGTTTTTATTATTGGCGTGTTTGTTCAAGATGTGGTTTTCATCAAGGCTGTGCTTGCGGAGCTGGTGCTGCCGCCGCTTGTGATGGGTACCGGTGCTGGTTCTCAACTGGTGGCTGTAAGAGTGAACCTGCCGGCGTGGAGGCAAGTTGGATAACCTCGCCAGCGCCGTCCCATCATCTTCTTCTAAACGTTCATCCATTATTTTAAATTTCTGATTGTGTTGTTTCTTGGAACGTGATAACAGAGATTCAAGAAATTCGTAGAGAAAGCATGAATGTTGGGGAGAGAAAGAAAAGGTCAAAATGGGAATATGAGAGAGGCAATAATAGAAAGAGAGAGACCATTGGTGGGTGGTAAGGTGGCATAGGAGAGAGGTGGGGTGCGAGGAGAATGGCGAAAGATGCTGGCAATGCACGGACAGGAATGTACTGAGTTCCCAAGGTGAACCGTGTGTATTGTGACAGTTTTACTTTTCATTTGAGCGTGAAATTTAAGAATAGGATTTACAAGACTATAACTGGTAGGTAACGGTCTAATATCAATCAATAAAGCAAGTGGAAAAATGTTTTAGCAAACATTGAAGGAGTATTAGGCGTAATAACAAAATCAATCTGAAATGGTGTAAAGGATCAAGCGATAATTATTTTGGCACTAAATCGAGAAAGGGAGAATGCTTGCCCAGGTACAACTCTTCATGTGACATTATTAACGGAAGCTAACTCTACCTGTAGCTCTTGGTTTAGCTTGTATTTTTCTATGATGAGGGGATTAATTTACTCTTTTGGTATGAAATGGGTAATTATGTAGTTGGTCCTCTAATTCTTCTTTTTTTGAGTCCTCGATCTAGGGCACTAGACCTCTTGTTTTACTTCATTCGAGAATTACTATGGAAAGTTGGTTTCAGTGACTAATATGAACTTATTACATATCACCCGGAGGTCGTTAGAAGAATATTCAAAAATTATTTTGAAATTAATTCGAATTAATAGGTTTGCTACGTGTAAGGTTGGATCGTGGTTGCAACGACATGACATCAACAAAGGGGTTGCTATTAGTTTGTTCTAAACTCAAGGGAAGACAAAGCTTGACTCAGCTCTTTCCTCACATCGTTACATGAGCTGTTGTCTACTCTAATACGAGATGGTTTCTGTAGTCTACTTTTTTTCAAAGTTTAAATTCTCGTCTTTACTATGAAAACATTTTATAGGCCAAATGATGAAAACGTGATCACGTCATCACTTATTTCAAAATAAACTAATTGTTTCTTCTCTTTTCTAAATCGAATTTTCAATTATTATAATTTGTTTGTTTTTCTATTGGATAATTATATTACCATCACAAAATCTACTCGTTACATCGCAATTTTATTATTTACTTAAATGACCCTAACTAAAATTACTTAATTAATTAACCACACTTTAAAATTTACTTTTTAACATTAAACGATTTTCATAGACACCACAATCATTAAATTAACACATTTGTCCACAATTTCCTTTGCAGCGGTGTTAATTCTTTAAATGAATCTCTCTTTTATGATGATGGTGATTTATGATTTTAGGGCACAAGTTGAAAGGTGGCCACTGGTGAGATCTTACAGAAAAAATGTTTTACAGCCCTGTTCGGCACCATTAAAATTTTGATACACTTTTATCTTTTCTTTTCAACCATTCATTCTCCAATAAAATAATATTACACGTAAATCAAAAATTTGTTCTTTTTTAACCAAACATTCTCTGAAAAATTACTATTTCAAAATACATTATTTCCAAAAACATCATTATAATGGGGGCCAAACAAGATGGGGCTGGATTGAATGTTAGTGGGAGATGTTTCCTGGGATATGTTTGTTACTTCTTGCAAAAGGCATAGAATGATGAAATGATCTGAAGCTAGCTATAAAACTTGCATACAAAATGTTGCAGAATTCATAATTCAGAACATAAAACCAAAATGAATTGGTTCTTCCCCAATTTCTTTTTGTACTATTTGAACTATCCATTGATGAAATTTTAGGGTTCCGTTTTTGCAAATTCTATTGGGACTTCATCTTAAATGAGGAATAATATCGAAATGATGAATACATCACAATATCAGGTCTGTAATTGTTAATTTGTTGTGGTATATTTATTGAAAATATATTATTTTAGTGTGATTATAATGTGGCTTAGTAATAATTACCCTTTTCTATTTCTTAGTTAACAACTCCTTAGAAAATTTTCCATTTAAGCCCATGTTTGATTCTCATTCTTTAAAAACTTATTATTTGTTTTCTCAAACTCATTTTCAACCACACATTCTCCTAATAAAATAATTTTACACTTGAAACAAAAAAATTTCCCTAGTTTTTACATTCTTCATAAAATCACTATTATAAGATCTGTTCACCAGAAAGTTGGGCTCAAATAAAGTCTTTCGTAAATGTTTGTAAGGAGTGATGATGGGGAGAAAAGTTTGATAATACTTGATGATGTCATAACTTTCTAGTTTGACATGAAGTCTTGAGTTCCTAAACACGCGCATGTTAGTTTCAAGTTTTGTTTTGATCATCGAGGTGGACACCTTCGATATAGGGTCTGTTAAACAATCCAAAGAAAAGAAGAAAAAGAGGCTAAGGTTTTATTGATTCTGCATAATGTAATTGAATGAATAAAACCTAGATACAAAGAGACTATATATAGTCAAAAATAAAGAAAACTTAAAAGACTATTCTACCCATAATAAATAATGTTAACAAAATAATAATATATTTCTTAA